ACCTGTCAAATTGCTACTGTAGGTACTGGTGCTCCTGCATTCTCAGCAGTCATAGCTAAAGATCCCAAACAGAAGTGGGGAAGACCCCAAAGTGCTTGGATCCGTCAAATGCTTTAGCATCAGAAACCCATATGATTCTATTAGTGAAAATGACATCACAGAAGATGCATTACTATGTGCTTTGCCACTGCACTCTATGAAGCATGGGACCTTTCCATCTGACTTGTAACTGAAACCTGTGTTATCACCCCCATTAGAATGAGAGCAGGGACTATCTCACTTTTGTATTTGTGCCCCCAACACTCTGCACAGTGTTTTGCATGGAGTAAACACTTTAAAACCTGCTTTTTCATTCATTTATTTGTTCATTCATTCAAATTTGGAAACTCCAATGACAAAGGAACTAGTTATCACACCCACTTTGCCCCTCTTCCTTGTCTCTTTGGCATGCAGGGATGGGCATTGGTAGTAGGATACAAGTGATGAGAAATAGACAAATCACCTGGGAAATGGGCCTTAGAAAAGCTCAAGTTTCATATCAAACTCAAGTGTCTAGAATCTAGAGTCAGGAAACAGGGACTGTATGGAGCTCAGAAAGGCTGGGTTTTGTCAGCTCCTCTTCTATTTCTGTACTCTGTCTTTTTCCTCAGTAGGTCTATTATGCATATGTCTCTATATATACACATATGGAGAGAGAAAAGAGGGGGAAGAAGGGATGGAGGGAAGAGAAAGAAGGGAGAATATGAAACAGGGAGGGAGGGAGTAGGAAAGAGAGAAGGAGGAAGAGGAGGAGGTAGAGGAAGAGGAGGATGGAGGGGGAAAGTATAAGGGGGGTAGATGACAGTGTGAGACAGAAAGGGGGGGACAAAGAGAGAGAGAGAGAGAGAGAGAGAGAGAGAGAGAGAGAGAGAGAGAGAGAGAGACAGAATGTATGCACTTTATCAAGAGATCATTTTCCAAGCTCAAAGGGATAATTTCCTGGATTCTTCTCTACAGCCCCTAGCTAAGACTTTATGGTCTCCTAAGGACAGGAGAGGCTCTTCAGTCACAGTGTTTTTCAAGAGATGAAATGAATCTGAAGGCAGAGGAGGCAGTTTTTTATACGGACATTAAGGGATCTGGGGTTTTCATTCTTTCTTTTCTTTTTTAACGTGGAGGACAAAGACTTTCAACTACAAGGAGCATGTGATAAGGCTACTCACCGTACGGGAGTCCAGGGAAGCAGACAATGGTGCCTTGCATGCAGGAACTCATGAGGGGACAACTAGCTCCCACATTTTACACCAGCATTTAATAACTTTCCAAAGAGAAAATGAAGCTTTTTAAAAATTTTGCCTCACCTTGAGAAGGAGATGACAGAGTGGCAAGTACATTAGAGCTAGAGTCAAAAGAGCTCGGTTGGAATTCTGGCTTTGCCATTTACTCCCCATGTGAGCCTGGAAAAGTCCTGTCCCCTTTCTAAGACCTCAGTATCTTCATCTAGAAAAATTAGGAGGAGGGACTAGATCACCTACATCTAAGACATCTTTCAGCTTTAAAGCCTCTGATCCTTGAGCAAATAATAGGTTCACCTCAACTCAATACTTTTCTCTTCAAAAAATGGCATTAATTAGGATAGCCCAATCTAACCTGGGAAAGAGGTTGTTTTCTGAGGGGAAAAGATCTGGATTCTAATTTCTCAAGTAACCTCAATAAAAATAAAAAGTCTCAGTCTAAATTGGGAACTGCCACCCATAGAGATGCTCAGACACCTAAACTGGGAACTACCACCCAAATAGAAGCTCAGACATCTAAATTGGGAACTACTATCCAAACAGATGCTCATATACTTTACCTTCTGGAAGTCTACCTAGCTTAGGGCCTATAAAAACCATCCCCTGAGGTTAAGCCCACCTACTTCCAAGAAAATGCAGGCAAAACATTTAAGATTGTGTGGGAAGGAACAGCAGTCATAGAATTATAAATTTGGACCCAAAAAGGAACTCAGAACTCATTTGGTCCAACCCTCTCATTTTACAGATGAGGTAACAGAAGTGAAGAGATTAAGTGAGGAAATTGAGAGGTATTAGGTAGTAAAGCTGGGAAGGTTAACTCAGGGTCTCCCACCAGAACTCCAGCTGTCTTCCCACTGTTCACCTTAGCCCTGTTTCCACCAGGACACCTGAAGGTCAAGGTGAGTCAGACTCTTCGTGTAAGATTTTGATAGTGCCTTCTTCACTGGTTTCCCTGTACATTAAGTAGGAAGATGTGGTAGTCTCATTCAATATTTCCTCAAAGCCCCTTCCTAATATAGGTCAAGTTCACTACCTCGGCAAAAGAACCACTAATTGAGTTAAGGCTAGTTCTTTCCATATAAATCCTATTCGTCTTCACGGCATGGACCTTGAAAGATTATTTCATCTATCCCTGTCTTCAACACCATACCATATTTGCCACTTTTTCTTATTGCACCACTTGTATCATTCCAATCATCTCAGAGTCCTCTGGTGCAGAAGTGGGTTAGGGAAAGGGATAGGACCTATGAGATCACTGATAGAGAGAATTCTCAGGTGAGGAAATTCCTTCTACCAATATAGGTGGGCACCTTCTGTGTAACTTAGTTGTCTAGAACGGTGAGAGGTGAAGTGACTTGCTCAGGGGCACACAGCCACTATATGTCAGGGGTAGTACTAGAACCCATGTCTTTCTGGCTCTGAGGCCAGTTCTCCATTTGATACTTTGCACTGCCTCTCATTGGGTGAAGAAAATGCTTAGAAAACCTTCAAGTGCTCTATAAACATGGGTTATAATCATTGTCAAAGTGTAAGGAGTAAGTTCTAATTACTGGTAGACCAAAGTACAGATACGTGGAGGAGAAAACAAATGCTCAAAGTTTATTAAACATTAAGAATAACAGACAAAGGTTTGGGTTGAACAACATATAAAATGCAATCCTGTATCATGATGCACAGTTTCAGCTGATCGCCTAGGTGAACGCAAGTTCCCCAAAATTACAATGGTTGATCACTGGATAAAGACCAGTCTGGTGGTCTCAAATGAAAGGTCTCAGTATCCTTAAGTATCATAAAAGAAGAAATTTAAAAGAACAAAAGGGCACTCATCTTACCAGTCAAAGACAAGCCATCAAGCCTACAGCAAGGCTTGTTTCTGTTGACTTTCAATTCACTCCCAGACACGGAGAGGAGAACTTAGCAGGGTCCTCAGGCCTTATGGAAATGTAAGAATGGAAAAGCCATAAAGAGGAGGTGGCAAGATTCAGTGAAGAGGGCGAATACCACCTGGAGAGCTGGCCACTTAGCCTGCACTCCGTCCTGTCATCACTTAAATCTACAATAGTGGGTTCTCCCTGTACAAGGGCAAAACCCCACCTCCTACGGTATTGCTCTAATAAGCAATCATGCTTTCCTCCTTATAAATAATATTTAAAGTACACTATAGCCTTTGAGGCATAGGTACTACTTCTACCAGTGTAAATTTTAATCCATCCAAACCCTGGGTGACTGACAAGATCCATTATATAAGTTCTTACTTGAGGGAATGTCTATTATTCCGCACCGTTGGCTCCATTCATAGTCACTCTATCCCTATCTGGTCAAATGTGGTTTTGACATAGGCCAAAAGAAGCCACAGAAATAGAATGAAGAGTATTTACTTGTTGAAGGAATTTATTGTTGTCCATAAACATCCCCTAGTGGGAGAGCCGGCTGCTAACTTGGTCTGGCTGATAAATTTTTGAGACTTCTCTGAAAGTCTGGTCAAAAGGAATTGTCAAGAATTGTCAAGGGTGGCTGCCAGCAAAGTTTCTAGTCTGCAGACTTCTATTTCAAATTTCAACTTGATTTGTTCTGGGATGATGTGACTTTTCAAATCCCTGGATTTTTAACCCCTGAAAGGTGCTTATAATGATGGATGAAAGTGACAACGTGATTTCTATAACAGAACAATGCTCAGTTAACATTGTTCTAAGGGCAACTGGATTGAATCTGTTCTGTCCTGATTGCTCTAGATCTCACCAAGTCAAAGCATGAGATTACTTCCACTTCAATGACCAGAATGATTAACCTTTCTGGCATGATTAGCTCGGGTGGGGGAGACAGAGACTGAGAGGGTGAGGGTAAAGGAAAGGGAGAGGGAGAGGGAGGGGGAGGGGGAGAGGGGGAGAGGGGAGAGAGAGAGAGAGAGAGAGAGAGAGAGAGAGAGAGAGAGAGAGAGAGAGACAGACAGACAGACAGAGAGAGAGAGAGAGAGAGAGAGAGAGAGAGAGAGGGAGAGAGAGAGACAGAGAGAGAGACAGAGAGAGAGAGAGACAGAGAGAGAGAGAGAGAGAGCAACAGACATAAGGCACCTGTGCAGACTCAGAAGCGTTTAACTGTAAAGATGAGGTAGCTGCTTAAAGCCTCTCCTGGCACACAACATAAAGAATGTGGTGGGTTTTTTTTCCTTTTCCACAGAAAACATCTGTGATGTTAATTCCTTACAAATAAGCCCATTCCAAGAAAGACCAATGTTGTTTGCTCAGCTGCCTTTTTATACTTTGATGAGTTAGGATGGTCCAAAATGCAATCCCCCAACACTTTTCCACTTGCAAGATATAATTTCTGTCACTGACTTCACAACTGTTAATTATGGCTATTTAAATGTACCCATATTATTAAGAATATGTCAATTACCAATTCCACTGCAATTAACCACTGACTCTGAAAAATCTGAGTTCGTAATCATTTGAGTTTGAACTGATATACTATCCCATTCTACTCTACCTTTGGGAAGCCAACTTTTGAGATGCTAGTTGACATGAATTTCCACTCTACTCTCTTAGCCATCTCCCTCCATGAGCTGTTGTTTGGGGGCAGAGTGAATAACCAGTAGAAGGCTAAAAACCTAGCCTGTTTATCAGTTTTGCCACATTCACAAAGATGCTACCACACAGACATTACTAAAGGACCAATAGTGAGACATCACTGAAGAACTGGGTACTCAGGAGGCAGGAAATTAGAAAATCTCATTGAATAAAAGAAATATTTAATCTAGAACAAAATGTTCCATCTTTTTTTTTCAGTAACATTGCAATCTGTTGACATAATACACTCCAGTGAAACAAGGAACAATCTTTGTTAAAGGAGAAACATCTAGCGAATTACAGACCAAACACTTAGCACCAATATTCACCCCACATTTCAACACCGTATTTGAGACGTGTCTGCAAGGGAGAATGGGACTGTTCCAAATACTTGCAGCAGGAAACCCATCCCAGCAATATGTCATTCTAGAGTGAACATGAAAATTTTTGTGGCAGATGCTTTTCCTAAAAAATATTGTTATCATTCAATAAATATTTGACTAAAATCCATTTTGTGCTTCTGGGTGATATTGACTGACTGACTTTTTTTTTTAATTCCTAAAGGAAAATACAAAAGTTCCTTATGTGTTTATAAGCATGAAGCATTGTGGCAAGTCTCAGTACTGTCATAAAATTTTCATTTACAGCAGAAAACATGCTGATGAGTCAGTGATTGGCTTGAAATAGTAAAGATTTCAAAAACCCCAAAGCATTCCTTCTCTGTACAATAATGGTGAATATATATATATATTATATATATATATATGTATATATATATATATCTTTGCTATATAATTTTAAAACATGGAATAAATTTTTTTCCTTTTCTCTTTTGCTATATATAATATATGTCTTTCAAAATACATGGTCAGTATTTGTATCTGAAAAATACTGTACAAAAAAACACCTTCCTATAATTACTCTGTATAAACATTAAACAATTTCTTTTAATAATTTCTCCTTTTGGTCTAGAGTAAACATTCAAATCGATTGGAGTAACCACAGTTTATGACAACATCATCCCCTTCTGAGATACACCAGTGTCTTTACATTCATTTTTTTTTCAGAAGTCCACTTTATAACAGAACTTACATCCTAAAGCAAACAGCAATAAAGCAACAAAGGAAATTCCAGAATTGTTATTATTTCATGAATATTTTCAAAACAACACCAGGGTAGGGAAGAAAAGTAGAGGCGGGGCTTAAAAAACACCCAACTTGCTAACTTAACTAAAATCATTTTTAGAAACAGCGAGAGAGTTCACAAAATATATATATATATATATATATACATATATATATACATATATACATACATATATATATACGTATATATATATGTATATATATTTTACAAAAGTGAAAGAAAAAACAGATCTGAAACCACTGAACTATATTCTGGATATCTGTCATCTTCAACTGGAATAAGGGGAGAAAAATGCCTAAAGAAGTATGTGGGGCGGGGGGGGAAGACAAAATTAAACTCCTTTTGGTGTCAAAAGCTGATGAGAGTGAGACTTATTATTTGGCTCTGATATCAATGAATTGCCCATTTTCTCACAGACCCAGCATCTTCCTCTGCCTCTCTTATCTGGGGATGTTCTGGGCATGCTCAAAATGCGTCACTTTCCTTTTTTTTCTTTTTCTTTTTTTTTTTTTAAGACAATGAAACTCTCAGGTAGGGAATGATCCTACGTCCACTAGTAAGACTCAGGCAGCATGCTCTAGCATACAACAGGGTTATTGCTTTAGGTACAGACGGTGCAAAAAAAAAACACTCTGTGTGCCCTAGTCATGGTGCTCTTACATAGCTGGGGCTCGAAGACTCAAAAGGAAACTTAGCAGATATGGATAAGTAAATATGGGGGCCCTAATGAATCTAAACAACACTTGAGATCTGTAGACAAGTATCACCAGAATTTAAAAATATGAGGAAAGTAATCTCTAAATTAATATTTTCTGCAGTGTAGCACTAAGTTATCCTGTGCACCTTATTAGCATGTTAACGTTTGATTAAACATAAACAATAGTTTGTACTCTTAAAAACTGAGATCTACTTTTTTTTTTCTTAAAACTGGGATCTTTCCGTCTAAATCCAAGGAAAGGGGTCAAAAGAGTAATAAAGGCCTAAAGAGAAGCAGCGCTAACTGGGGTGAGAGGGCCAGGATGCAGGAGACAAAGAAGAGAGAGAGAGAGAATAGCCACCATAGTTCTCAATAGTCCAAGTAAAAATGTGGCACAAATTTTTTTTCTTTAAACTAAATGAAAAATCAGGGGTGGGAGGAAAGAGGGATAAGGAGGGTGTTTCATAAAAATGGGAACTGCACCCGTACTCATTCTCCCACTTAGGTGCATACAATGTGCATCTGTGTGTGTACACACACATGCGCACATCACACATCACACACATACATATACGCACACATACGCACACATACACACACATAAGTCAGTTTTTGTTGATGCTTCTAGTAAAGTGCCGATGACAGCAAGGTTGGCTTGGATGTGGTGTTTAGGAAACGCTGTCCATCTATTCCAATGCCAACCCACCAAAAATGCCATCCTACAGGGGGCCATGCCTGGCCTCATACTTGGCAAGTATGTTCTTGCATTTACCCAACTCTTTCCGCAAGTCAGCCACCTCCTGGCGGAGGGCCGAGTTCTCTTTCTCCAGGAATGAAGCCCGGATGGCAATCTGATTCTCCTTCAGCCTCCGGGCATCTCGGGAGCGCTTGGCAGCCATGTTGTTCTTTCTACGCCTTGCCCAGTACTTGTCATCCTGCTCATTAGTTACAGAAAGAAAAGAAACAAGATATTAGATTTCAGCAAAACCACAAGATGCCCAGGACATCCGAGGGACAGATTCTACACTGGACTGAGGACAGTGGGGTCATTCTTCTTGACTTCCCACTGTGTGCTGTCAGAGACTCTTAGGACTTCAGAGGTTATGTAGTCCAACTCTTGCCTAGAGCTCTAAAGAGGAATTTTTGAGCCTAGAATGGTACCACAAACCACAGTTGGGAGCAAACAGTAAAAGAGTGCCCTTGTGTTGAAGTGAGAGGGAGCGTGGGGATCAGGCCACTTATTATGGCTTGTCACAAGTCCTGTTTGTGCCCTGAGCCAAAGCATCAGCTGTTCCTTCCTAGTTATGGCTTTGCCCTTACCCTAATGATAGCTTTCGTCCTATCTGGTGGGGAACAAGGAACCGGCCTCCTGGAAGGCTACCTTTCCCTCTTTTAGAGACTCATGAAAAGTCTAGGCATGTGCCCATCAGGAAAGGTGTCACAGTCCAAGCAAGAAAAAGTGTTACATACATTTTTTTTTTACCACACCTGTGATTTTCATTGATGTAGGAAGCTCTCCGTGAAGAAATATCCTCTGTCAATGCATATTAGCAAGCTTTATAAAACTTAGAGTCTCAGAGAGTTGCCTGGGGGCACTAAGGGGTTAAAAGACTTGCCCAGGATCATCAGTATGTGTCATAAGCAGGACTTGAACCCAAGCCTTCATGTTTCTAAGGTCAGCTCTCTATTCACTAAGCTATGCTGGCTCTCCATCTCATAAATACATAGGTACATATACATGTATTTGTATACACACATACATAGATATAGATAGCTACAGATATATATAGATTTCTATATATTTATATATGTATGTATATATGTATATGTTTGTTTAGGTATGTATACATTTATATATTTATGCATGCATTTTTAATAACACTTTCTGTATCTCTGCCCCCTCCCTCTTTTTTCCTCTTTCTCTCTCTCTTTCTCTCCCTCACTCTCTTTCCTCTCCTCTTCTCTCTCTCTTAACTAAACAAAATGTCAGAAGGGTGATGAGGGAGGTGTTTCATAAAAATGGGAAATACACCCATACTCCTTCTCTCACCTAAGTGTACACTGCACATGGGGCACGCGCGCACACACACACACACACACACGCACACACACACACACACACATACACACACACATACATGCAAACACAAATGCAAGTCATTTGATGCTTCTGGGGAAATGCTGATGATACCCTCTATATGTATGTATGCATGAATGTACGTATGCATGTATGTATGTGTATATATTCCTAATTCTATATATGGTTCTATCTCTATCTAAATCTGTGCGTGTGTGTATTTCTAACTCTATCTACATTCAGTATAGCATTAAACATCATTGACAAATTACAAAGTGAATATTATGTTATGGATAAGCAGGAGTTGACAATATAATCTTTCCACTAGGGACCTCAAAGAGGTACACTATATTGATCACCACCCTAATGTTTCAGCGAGACACAGAATGACCAGGAAATATTTGGCAAATGGGGTAAACTGAGACCCAAGAAGATGAAGCAATCTGTCCATAGTCCAACTTTCCACACTCTTCACTGAAATTCTTCTCACTAGGACCCTTTTCCTCTCTCACCCAACATCCGCAAACATGTATGTGTACACATACGGAAGTACTCGTGCACATGTACATGCGATTCTGTAGTTTCCTGATAAACCTTCCTTATGGACCTTATTTAACCTGGTTGATACTTAGATACTTAGTTCTGGTTGATATGGAAGCAATCCTCCTCTCCATCAAACAAAAATAAAAGAAAATCCTCTTAGGAAAAACGTTCTGCATAAATCTTGCTTTAGAACTTTCCATCTAGGTCCCCCCTCTTCTCAAAATCAGCTTTAGGCAATTCATTTATGATGCCACCTGAGCCCCATCCTTCTTTATTTTAACAAATTGCAACAACAAATCTCTTAATCCCAAACTGAAAGGGGCAAAGCTGATGTCTGCAGTCACATGCCACCCAGGAAGCCCTGAGGAACCTAATCTTCTTATTCTCCCCTGGGACCATAAGGGTCATGGTCAATGCATGTGATTATGTTAGAAGGGCCCAAATTATCCCTAGGTCTGCTCCCAGTACTTTGAGATCTGTTTTTCATGCCTGAAGCCTTAGGCGAAATAGAACTAACTTTGACGGGCATGCCACAGAAACCATTGCTGAGGCAACTGGTGCCATAGCAAATAAAGCACTGTTCTGGAATCAGGAAGACCTGAGTTCAAATGCAGCTTTAGACACCAGCTATGTGACCCTGGGCTAAAGTTAACCTCTCTTTGCCTCAGTTTCCTCAACTATAAAATGGCAGTAATAATAGCACCTACCTTGCAGGGTTGCTTTGAGTATCAAATGAGATTATATTTGCAAATAGTAAGTGCTTAATAAATGCCTATGTCTTTCCTACTACTCCCTATACACACATACCTTCTGTTTGGCACATAGAAGCTAGCCATGGCTCCCATTCTTGCCAATCATCCTCAGGTACCTTATACATGTCACCATGAGGTCTGCTCACAAAGAAAGCTAAGCTAAAATTTCTCAAGTATGGTCAGTATGGTCAACATAGGTAGAGGATAAAGGAGAAGAGGACAGATCAAGAAGCTGATGCTCTGGGACCAGTAGCTTCTCTGCAATCTCCATCCCAGGACCAGAAGACAGAGGTACGGCTGTCAGAGAGTTCTTTCCTCTCTCTCCACCTCCCTTTCTGGAGCTCCTCAATAAGCCTGCACATTCTATCCCCTTCCTCCAGGAAATCGCTAGGTTCAGGCGTCCCCCAAGCAGCCCTGCCTTCTCCCAAAGTGCCTCACACTCCAAAATTACTCTGTGCCTCCCACCCTCACATCAAAGCTCTCATGCCCTTCTCTGCATCAGACTGGTTTAATCAGCTTGCTTTCCTAACCAAGGTAACTGACTGAATGCTATCCAACTTCTTAACTTTCCCAGCAGCCTTTGCTCATCAATCCTCTTAGTTTTCTAACTGGTGCATGGACAAATACAAAATTTGGAATAGGTCTGCCTTAAACTATCCTGCTACTCACTAGGTGAATGACCTTAGATAAGTCACTTCATTTTTCTGGGCTACAGTTTCCATATATAAAATGGAGGAGTTTGGATTAGGTGGTCATTAAGGTTCCTTCCAATTCCTGAAACAATGATTCTATGATTCATTCCAACTTCCTTAGAGAAAGTTGGAGAAGGGAAGGGGTGGGAATAGAAATATGGCTTTAGGAGGGGAGGGGAGGCAAAAGAACCAGCCTTAGGCAATGTATCAAAGTTTCTTTGCCCCCTTCTCATTTTCATTTCTGTACCCAGGCCTCCAGGTAAAGTAACTGTCATGCTGCCCAAAGCTCCCTACTCTGGCACCCTCTCCCTTTAGGGGTCCATCCTCTAAAATGTCTGCTACCATCCCCCCATCACAATTTTTGTGACTTCAGTTAGTATGCCTCAGTTTCCCCACCTACAAAACAGTATGTCAGATGGCATCTTCTAGATTCTTCCTCGGCCCTAACGTTCCTGTTATACGATGAAACTGATTCACATTGAGAAGAGTCTCCTCTCTTACTATCTTCCTGTGATGTCTGCTCCTAAACCCAAATGAATTCATAATTAGTAGAATTCTGGTAGGTCTTGTAACCATGGCAGAGTTATTTCAGGTTTTGGACGCATAAACCCAAAGACATAAATCTTTCTTGAACATTTCCTATCCCACTTTATCCTCTAAAAGCAGCTTGGAGGAACATTGGCCCACAAATTCTCCTTTCTGGGGTTCTCAATTTCATCTCTATTTCTCAATAAGAGTGGGGGGAACTCTTCTTTCTGGAATTTCCAATTTCATCTCTATTTCTCAATAAGGGGGGATCCCAATTTTTATCATAAAGAGTCAAAAGATATTTCATCCAAAGCCAAGTTTGACCTGGTATCATAGAGGTTGCCCTATCCTTACTTCTGCTGCCTTGAGAACCACATGGGAAGGGGTACATTAATAAACCAGGAGGTTCCCAGAACAACCAGGCCTTGAGTGCCAGAAACCTTCCAGAAAATGGTAAGACCTCGCTTTTTTGGTCCTCTTGAGTTAGAAATAAAGAAGTTTTTCAGAAGGGCCATGATTCAATTATTCCATAATATTATCCTCCTCTCCCCTCTCTGACTTTAAAAGTGTGGGGTTTTGTAGGTTTTGTAAAAGTACTAATAATTAGTCACTTCCATAAGCTGCTCACCATTCATATCTAATCCCCAACCGGTATAATAACAATTATGCATCTCTTAATTAACTTTATTCTAAGTTTTATCCAATTACAGCACTTATTCTGGTTCGTAAATGTGCAGTCTTCAAAGTTTTTTTACTCACATTGGTTCGTTGTTTACTTTTAGCTTTAAAAATTACAAGGGACAACTTGTTCTTGTGGGGAAGAGGGGCATAATACATGACAAGGAATCATTTTACCATCAAGAATACTTGAAACTTTGGCCATTACATACTTTACCTGCCAAGTCATTTAGGTCTTGAGAACTCTTTTCAGCCTTTCCCCAGAGTAGGACAGCCTCACTCAGCAGCACTTTGGCAAACTTTCAAAAGCCTCGGAAAGCTGTATTAGATGCCCCCCCCCCCAGCTTAAGTGCAATAGATAAAGGCCTGAGATATAGATGGAATTTAGGTAATAAGGAAATAAATCAAGAAACAACAATCAATTAGGAAAAGGCATATTATTACCATCTCAAATATTAGCCCCACTAGACTGTAAGCAACTTGAGGGCTGGGATCACATTTTATTTTTGTTTCTCCCTTGGAACCCATAACCCAAGTACAATGACTTGTACTTATGATATTGAATAAATATTTGCTAGGAAAAAAATCAATATATGAATGTATGAATGACTACAAGTTTCCAATACTGAGTGGCCATCATTTCTTCCTACTTTTTAGCCAATTTACCCAAGGACCCTGGGATCTGGGTTATATTTTACTGTGTACCTCAACCTATTCTAGATTATCTTAAGGATGACAGGAGCTACCTTCTTGGTCCCTTGAAAATCTACTTTTTAACTTGAGATTTATGATGCAACCAAGACTAAGCGTGGCCTTACACCTGAAGGTGTTGCCAGGGATTTAAACTAGCCTGTTATAGGAGTTGATACTGTTAATTCACCCCTACCCCCCACTCCCCAGTGGATCATTCTAGAAATCAAAGGTGGAACCATTAGCATAAATCAGCTCCAGAAAGCTCACATTCCTACTTATTCCAACAGAAGAGTTTTCTATTTTGTGTACCATATTTGGGTTTGGATAAGTAGGAGGGAAGAGGAGGGGGCAGAGAGCTATTTCTACATAAATCAGTGGATCTGAGATCCCATTGTTGTAGTTACTCTTTCCAACGATACAGCAGATTACATCCTATCAATGCCTGTTCATTCTACGTAACTCTTATCTATATCCTTCCATAAATTCTCCAAGGAGTGTCCACTCAACATGGCAAAAGTGCTCCTCCAGACTGTCTGACCCTGAAACCAGTTATCTCTTGCTCTCGTTCCATGATCAGCCCACCAATAAACATTAACTTAATTGCTTAATGTCATTACTTTGAATTTATAGAAGTGTCTTAGAGCAACCCAAATGTAGGCAAGAATGTCTGATTCCAAAATTTAAAAAAGTCATCTTTATTTGGCTTCATAATATAGCATATATATTACAAGAACAGATGTGCTTTCCTCATTCTATTTTCATTCAGCAAGGCAGAGATAAACCAACCTGGGATTAAGCATTCCTCCAGGATAAGCTATAAAGTGAATATTATATAGTCGATAACAAAGAGCTGACTGCATTATCTTTCTGGTAAGGCTTCAAAACACTCTAAAATGTTGCTGATTCTCCTAATTTTTTGTTAAATACAAAAGGACCAGGGAGTGTTCAAGAATGGGACAAACTGAAACACAATGAAATGAAGTAATTTGCCTTCTTCCCAAAGGAAGAACAACCAGAACTCCATGCCTCCCAACCTTCCTCAGGTAGCCCTTAGAATTTTTCTTCCACTAGCCTAGTTACCAGTTCCAATTTACCTTCAGATCTTCAGGGATGAAGACTTTGCGAGCTTTCTTAATCATGGGTTGTGGTTTGAGCTCCTCCTCTGAGAACTTGCGTTTTCGAGGGTCAAACATTTCCTGGCCAGGGATGCTGGACAGAGCCAAGTCAGCTGGGTCTGGTTCATAACCCACGGGGACCTGGATGGTCTCAGGGTCAATAGGACTTGGCGTGTTGCGGTTTGTGGATAATATCTGACCTGCAATGACATAGGAGGAGTTTTGAAACAGAAATACTCCAAAGGGCACCCAAAGGTGCTAGCCCACTTTTCTAGGAGGAAGCAAGATTTATAATAATTCATACCTTTCATTTCTTTGGTGCTCAGGAACCTCCTATTTTACCTGTCCCACAATATTCTCCTGAAAAAGGCAAGGCTAGTAGAATTTTAACCATTTTACTGATTGCAAAACTAGAGCCCACAGAAGGAAGCTGATTTGCTAAATTTCACACAGCAGGTCTAGTCACCTGTGTGTGTACAGAGATTTAAGATTCATAAATCTTGACCAACAGCCCCATGAAGCAGCTAGGGGTACTAGTGCATAAAGGGCTGAACCTGGCTTCAAGAAGACCAAGTTTAAATCTGGCATCAGAAACTTGCTAGCTGAAAGACCCTGAGTGAGTCACTTAATGTGTCTGTCTCAATTTTCTCATGTGTGAAGTGGGGCTAATAATAGTACCTACCTCCCAGGATTGCTGTAAAGATAAAATGAGATAATATTTGTAAAGTTCTTAGCATAGTGCCTGGCACATAATAAATAGTTATTCCCTTCCCCTGAGGTAAGCAGTACCAGTATTATCCCAGTTTCACAGAAGAGTAAACTGAGACTCACAGAGTGACTCATCTAGGCTCAAACTACTAGTAAATGTTAAAGCCAGGACTGAAAAACAGATTTATTCTGACTCTTAGGTCATAATATCCACCGTGGTTTATAACCTTAGGGTCTGTGAATGTTTTAAGAAATATTGCGGAGAGTGCAGACAAGAAGAGCAGTGACCACATCTCCCCCAGATCATACCATACTGGAAGCACCCAAAACTTGCAGACCCCTAGAACTATCTCTGAAAAAAGCAGCATGGAAAACCCTAATGCTTGGGACTGAGAATGCTTGGGACAGTGCTTTCCTACTTCCGGTTGAGCACAGCCCAACTTTAATATAAAGTTCAGGCAAGAAATAGGCTGGGAAAATGAGCAAACAAGAAAAAAAAAAGAATTTGACCATAAAAAGCTACTACTGTAGGAGGGAAGACCAAGACATAAATTCAGAAGACAATAATGTGAAAACAGCTACAAACAAAGTCTCAAAAAATTGCTAATTGGACCCAAACCCAAAAGGAATTCTTAGACAAGTTAAAGAAAGAGATAAGAGTGGTAGAGGACAAACTGAGTAAAGAAATGAGTGTGATGCAAGAAAATTATGAAAAGAGAATTAACAGTAAAAGAGGCACAAAAAATGCTGAAGAAAATAACACCTTAAAAAAAAAAGAATTGGCCTAATTGTAAAAAAGCAACAAAAATTCACTGAAGAGCTCCTTAAAAAGCAGAATGGGCTAAATGGAAAAGGAGGTACAAAAATTCACTGGAGAAAAGAACTTCTTAAAAAACAGAATTGTCAAATGGAAAAAGAGGTACAAAATCTCACTGAAGAAAATAATTCCTTAAAAATTAGAATTGGGCAAACAGAAGTAATGACTCCTTGAGACATCAAGAAACAATAAAACAAAGTCAAAAGAATGAAATAAATGGAAGAAAATGTAAAATATCTTATCAGAAAAACAACTGACCTGGAAAATAGATCTAGGAGAGATAATTTAAGAATTATTGGACTACCTAAAAGCCATGCCAAAGAAAAAGCCTAGACATCATACTTCAAGAAATTACCTAGGAAAACTGCCCCAATACCTTAGATCTAGAGGGTAAAACAGAAACTGAAAGAATATATTGATTACCTCCTGAAATAGGTACCAAAATGAAAACCCCCAGGACTATTATAGCCAAATTCCAGAGCTCCCAGGTCAAAGAGAAAATATTTCAAGCAGACAGAAACAACTCAAATATTGTGGAGTCACAGTCAAGAGCACACAAGATTTAGCAGCTTCCATGTTAAAGGAGTGGAGGACTGAGAATATGATAATTCTGGAAGGCAAAGGAGCTGGGATTACAACCAAGACTAACCTATTCAGCAAAACTGTGTATAATCTTTCATGAGATAAAAATATACATTTAATGAAATAAAAGACTTTCAAGCATCCTTAATGAAAAGACCAAAGCTGAATAGATAATCTGACATTCTAACACAAGAGTCAAGAGAAGCATAACAAGGTAAATATGAAAAAGTAGTCATAAAGGTCTCAACAAAGCTAAAACCTGTTTACATTCCTACATGGGAAGATGATACATGGAAGTCCTGAGAACTTTACCATTATCATGGTAGTTAGAAGGACATGGGTGTGACTGGATTATGTTGGAATGATCTCCAAAAAAATGAAGGGGTGAGAAAGAGGTTATGTACTGAGAGAAGGGGGAAGGGAGAGATAGAATGGTGAAAATTTTCTCACATAAAAGCACAAGGGAGAGCTTTTACAGTGGAAGGGAAAATAAGGAGGGGATGGCAAGCAATGCTTGAACCTCACTCTCATCAGAATACTCACTCAGTTAGTACAGAAATGTAACACTCAATCAGGAAATATCAGGGGAAGGGAATAAGAGAAAAAGGTGAGGGATGATAGAAGAGGACAGATTAAGGGAGACAATGGTTAGAGGCAAAAAAGACTTTTGAGAAGGGACAGGATAAAGAGAGAGAGGAAAAAAGTGAGATGGAGAGAAATACACAATAATCATAACTATAAATGTGAATGGCACAAGTTCACCCATAAAATGGAAATGGATAGCAGAATGGATTAGAAACCAGAATCCAACAAGAGATATACCTGAAATGGAAAGACACACACAGAATTAAAATAAACAGTTGGAACAGAATCTAATATGCTTCAGGTGAAGTAAAAAAGGCAGGGATAGCAATAATGATCTCAGACATTATTAATTATTAATATTATCATAATTAATTATCCCTGATTAAAAGGGATAATCAGGAAGTCACATTTTGCTAAAAGGTACCAAAGACAATGAATAATATCAAAAATTTTTTGCAGCAAGTTTCTCTATAAAGATCTCATTTATCAAATATATACTGAATATAGAATGGAGTCAAATTCACAAAAATAAGAACCATTCTCCACTTGATAAATGGTCAAAGTATAAGAACAGACAATTTTCAGAAAAAGCTAACTAGAGTCATATAAAAAAATGCTCTAAATCACTACTGATTAGAGCAATGCAAATTAAAACAATTCTAAGGTACCACCTCACCCATATTAGAAATGCCAAATGCCAGAGGAGATGAGGGAAAAATAGGTACACTAATGAACTGCTGGTAGAGTAGTGAACTGGTTCAACCATTCTGGAGGACAATTTAGAGCTATGCCCCCAAGGGATATAAAACTGTGTATATCCAACAACGCTACTATTGTATCTGTATCCCAAAGAGATAAAAGAAAAAGAAAAAGGAGCTATATGTACAAAAATCTTTATAGCAGCTCTTTTTGTGGTGGCAAAGAATTGGAAATTGAGGGGAATGGCTGAATGAGTTGTGGCATATAATCGTGATGGAGTACTATTGTGCTATAAGAAATGACGAGGAGGGTGGTTTCAGAAAGACGGGCAACCTACATAAAACTGATGCAAAGTGAAGCGAGAAGAACTGGGAGGTCATTGTACACAATAACAGCTACGCTGTAATGATAAACAACTGTGAAAGACTTAGCTATCCTGATCAATATGATGATTCAATACAGTTCCAAAGGATTCATGATGAAAAAATACTATCCATTTTTCAAGAGAGAACTGATGAACTTTGAGTGCAAACAGACATATAATTTTCTCACTTTATTTTTCTTGGTTTTTTAAAAAAATATGTCTAATATGGAAATGTGTTTTGCATGATTTCACATGTATAATTGATATATTGCTTGCCTTCTCAATGAGTGTGGGAGGGTGTGGGAGGGAGGGAGAAAATTCAGAACTCAAAATTTAAAAAGAAAAAAATATTAAAACATATTTTTAAATATTTTTAAAAAGAAAGAAAAAATAATGTGCTGAGTATCTATCAATAGAATGGGTTAACTTAGTAATTTATATTTAATGTATTTTATTTTAGGTACTTAAAAATATGATTGTAAGAAGGTCCATAAGTTTTTGTGGATTGCCAAGGGGGTCCATTACACACACAAAAAAAGGTTAAAAGTCCCCTAGACTACGTTGCCTTACTAATGGATTTAATGGATTTACTGCTAAAAACAGAACCTAGACTTCCAGGGATGACCCCCACTGTAGTAATAATGTTAAAAAAAATGGTTTCATTGAATTTATACCATATATCTTCATGGTAAGGGAGGGCTTAGGAACAAAAAGTGTTGTCCTCAGAGCTTTTGGTCCTGGCTTTATAGTTTAATCTGAACTTTACAACTGCTACTTTTAAATTTAAAAACATCAACAGTGAGAGTCATGGGCGGCTGAAGTTGCCTCACTCCAACTGCTGGTCACTGCCAAGGTGTATGAAAACAGAGAGACTCATTCAGGTTTCACTAAAATGTGTTCTGGGCAGAAGCAGGGAGCCCACAGACTTCCAGTTGGCCTGTGAAACTGCATATGGCTGATTCAGGGTGGGAGGGATAGTGAAGGGGGCAGTGGACAAAACCAAGGCCTCCAGATGACCTTTCAGTTCCTCTTTCAGTTTTAAATCTCCTTTGCTTCCTTGGGGACAAAGGCAAGAGCTGTGCCCTGGAGGTCCCATCTAGCTGAGGACAGTGCTTTCTCTTGGGCAAGGCTTCAGTGAGAAAGAAGTTCCTGCCTTCCCTCTTAGCTTAGAAAATGCATTCCATGTTTTGATCTCGTGTTTCTTGACATAAGAACAAATGAAATAAATGTATTTGAACGTACACCCAAACCTAATCTACCCAATGAAAACTGTCCTCTACGCTGGCTAATAAGGTTCAACACACAGGAGGTAAGTAGAGCAGTGAATAAAGGGTTGACTTGACAGGTAAATCACTCAGCCTTTCACTGCCTCAGTTTCCTCATCGGTAAAATGGGGATAATAAGAACATTTATTACACAGGGTGGTTATGAGGATCAAATCAGGT